TTGCTGAGTCCGTATCAGGGGCGCTAATGATGGAATCCTTGCGGGCACCGCCCGGGTCCTGCTGAATGCCTGAGGCAGCTGTCCCAGGGTACGCGGCAGCCATGGTCATCTGGTGGGGGCTCCGGGCCGCCGGCCGCGATGCGGCTGGCGGGGTGCTACCGGCATTCCGGCTCGAAGTGGCGGGCGACGACGGCGAGGCCCCCTGCCCCGCGGCGATCGAAGCATTGGACTCGTGAGCCGAAGAGGGCGGGCTCTGGCTGGGCGTTTGAGGAGCGCCGTGGGGGAGGGAAGGTTGGGAGGCCGAAAGAGGCCGCGTCTCCTGGCTGAGACTGCTTGTGTGGAGAGCCTGGGTGCTCTTGTGAGCTGCCAGCCGCTGTGGAGAACCGGGCGGCTTCTGCTGAGTTAGCGAGAGCTGGGATCCCGACTGACCCTTGGCACCCCCGTACGGGAACGTCCGGCTGGCGTGAGGGCTTTGGGAAGAGGGACTGGACACTACGGAGGGGAAAGGGCCGGCTGAAGCAGCCATCGGAGGCTGGGGGGGTGGGGGCTGCTGTTGGAGTGGGGCATTCGGCTGTGGGGGCCGCGGCATGTTCTGGAACGTCGAGCCACCCAGTTGTTGCTGCTGCTGCTGCTGCTGCTGTAGGTTCAGCTGCTGCTGTTGGTGATGCTGTTGAAGCAAGGCCGGCGAGATGGCGAAGGCCCCGGGAAGGCCTCCTTGGTACTGCAGACGTCGGACCATCCGTGGGGACCCGAGGCTGATTGGGCCGACCAGCGGGTTGCCCATCTGAGGGCAGAAGCTCATCGCCACGGCCTGCTGGAGGGTGGCGATCGCTGAGGTGACCTGGGGCTGAGTTGGGGTATACATGGCGGTGTGCTGTTGGAACTCGGCCTGTTGAACCATCTCCCGGTCATACTTGACGATCTCTTGGATGATCTCGTTCTCCTGGTTGTTGAAAACGCCTGAATTGAGGTCGTGCTGCACCTTGTGCAGGAGGATGGAGTTCTTCTTCCCTGCAAGAGAAGAGCGGAAGGCGTGATTTCCTGGCAGTCCAAGTCCACCCTCCCAGTGGTGCTTTTTCAAAGGCAACTGGACTTTCTTGGGTTGTTTTGTTTTTTCCTTGAAGAGATTTCCCTTCTCATCCAGGAAGCTTCTTCAGTTCTGAGTGAAGGATGGCAAAGGGAAAGATTTATATTCTTTGCAGCCATCTGGTCATTAGCGCTCTCTCTGAGAGTCGTTGAGGCCACTTGAGCTTAGAGAGAGTATGAATGACCACATGACTGCAAGGAATATAAAGCCTTCCATTCTCTACCATTCAGTCAGAACTGAAGAAGCTTCCTGGATGAGAAGAGAAACCCCTTCAAGGAAAAAAAGCCCAAGAAAAAGTCCAGTTGCCTTTGGAAGAAGCACCTTTTGGACAACCATGACCTGGATGACTGAGAATCTCCATAGACATCCAAGTCCACTGATACCCTTGCATAGCACTTCCCATACCCATGGAAAACTACAGGTAGTCCTTAACTTGCGACCAGCCGTTTAGGGACTGTTCGAAGTTAGGATGGATCTACTTGGAGGAGGGGGGGGGGACTTACAACCCCGTTTCAAAGTTCCAACTGTTGCTCCCAAGTCACACAGCCACACTTTGGATGCTGCCAACTGGGCTGTGTTTACGGCTGTTTGCTGCTTCCTGCAGTCACCTGACCTGAAGGCCAGACAAGGAAGAATGGATGGAAACTGAACAAGGAGAAATTCAACCTGGAAATAAGGAGAAACTTTCTGACAGTGAGGACAGTCAACCCATGGAATAGAAGTTGCCCTCGGAAGTTATGGGAGCTTCATCCCTGGAGGCTTTCAAGAAGAGACTGGACTGCTATGGTGTAGGGTCTGCCGCTTGGGTGGGGGGTTGGACTAGATGACCTACAAGCTCCCTTCCAACTCTGGTTATCTGTTATCTGACCATGTTTTATGATGGTTTTGCCAAAAACCATCTTTTTCTTACACTTTTTGGCACAACCGCACCCACAGCAAACCATGGGTTCATTTAATGAGTGTGGTATTTGTTTAACGACCACTGCGAAAAAGATTGTAAAATTGCGACTCTGACTTTGAGATAGTCAAACTGCTCAGGGTCACTTTGGGAGAGAGGGCAGCATAATAAACAAACAAACATGTTTTCAAAGCAAGTCGTTTCACACACAAGATGGGACCGTTCATGGAAGAGTTAAGCTCAAAAACCCAAAACATCTTGAATGCGGGAAGTCCTCAACTTACAAACATTCATTTAATGACCTTCAAAGTTACGCCATTAAAAAAAGTGTCTATTTTTTCACACTTACGACTGTTACAGCATCACAGTGGTCGTGTGATCAATTCAGACATTTGGCAACTGACTCATATTTATGACGGATGCAGTATCCCAGGGTCACAGGAATCCCCTTTTGCGACTTTGTGACCAGCAAAGTCAATGGGGAAAGCCAGATTTGCTTAATAACTGTTTTTAGCTTCAAAACTGCTGTGATTCACTTAACAACGGTGGCAAGAAAGGTCTTAAATGGGGCAAAACTCACTTAACAAAGGTCTCGCTTAACAGCAGAAATCTGGGGCTCAATTGTGGTTTTAAGTCGAGGATTACCCGTTCCTCGTAATGGGCAGCTCATATCTTCCAAATAAAACCCGGATGCCTTTTTTCCCGTGTTTTCAACTGGGACACCCTGGCCCATAACTCCCTCCCCTTCCCTTGCCAATTCCCCCAACGTACCAATGCGATCCAGCCGGTCCAGAGCCACGGTTTCAAAAGCTCTCCTCATCATGGGGTATTCCTCTAAGACCTCATTAAAATTGTCCACCGAGAGGGAATACAAGCGGCAATAAGTATCCGCCCGCACACTCGCAGTTCGACGCCCTCTGGTCAGGAGGCAAATCTCTGGAGGAAAGATGAAAAAGGAAATTCAAACCCCAAAAACTGGATTCCAAATGATTTCTCCCTTAAGGATAGAAGAATATATACATCCTTTGTGAGGTTAAAGCCAACTTCTTTCCGTCCTTCACAAAGCCTACTTAGATATTGAATTCTTCATTATTGTCATTGTACGGTATTGCATCCTTATTGTATACAACGAAATTCTCATAACACCCAGAGACCAGACTCAACATGCGCACACACGACAATCCCCAAACACTTCCCCACCCGCCAAAATTCCCCACCTCCTACAAAACGCACAAGCATCCCCACAACAGACCAAGTAAGACTGTCCAACAGCTCACTGATGGTGGTCCTTAAGTTCGTTGTGAAGTGCAATGATAGCTCTGGGATAAAAACTATTCAGAAAACGTGTGGTCCGAGTTTTAATTGTTTCTGTATCTTCTGCCAGAAGGCAACAGTTCATAAAGATTGTAAGCAGGATGGGAAGAGTCTCTGAGAATGTTGTGCGACTTCCTCAAACAGTGAGATGCGAAGGTGTCTTCCAGGGCTGGTAGCTGGAGCCCAATGATATTCTGGGCGGTTTTATTGATTCTCTGTAGAGAATTTTTTGTCCGCTACAGAGCTGCTCCCGTACCATGCAAGAATGCCGTATGTCAGGACACTCTAAATGGTGCTGCGGTAGTAGGACAGAAGGAGATGTTGAGATAATTTATCTTCCTAAGCATTCTCAGGAAGTACAGCCTCTTCTGTGCCTTCTTTACAATCATGTTAGCGTTCATAGTCCATGAGAGGTCCTCCGAGATATAAGTGCCCAGAAATTTAAAACTACCAACCCTCTCCACCTCCTCACCATTTATGTACAATGCTAAATGTACACCTCTCTTCCTCCTGAAGTCAATTATAAGTTCTTTAGTTTTTTGGATATTAAGTGTAAGATTATTTTCTTTACAACACAGTGTCAGCCCTTGTACTTCCTTTCTATAAGCAGACTCATTGTTCTTATTAAAGAGCCCCACCACTGTCGTGTCATCCGCAAATTTAATAATTGCGTTGGTGTTATACAATGGGGTGATATCTACTGGAACCAACCTTGTCTTTTCCCCCCTTCAATTATTTCCAGTCAAGCTGGTGGCTATAAATGTCATAATTTTAAATTCAGTTCTTGTCTTTTTCTTTCCTTAATCCAAATATTTTTTTTAAAAATAGGGCTATTTTGTCTTTCGGACAGTTTGGGACCTTCTCATGCCTATCTTGACAGCCATTTTGGGAACGGTCAAGTCTTCTTTGGCAGCCATTTTGAAAGTGAACCAAACTTATGTTCTCCAAAGGTCCCTAATTTTAGGAAGGAAAGCTGTCCCTGTCCCTCAGAATGCCACAAATATGAATGAAGACGGACTTGATTTATCTCACCTCCAAAGTAGGAACCATCTGAAAGCTTCATCTCTTTATTGCCTTTTGTGAGGACACTGACAACTCCATGTTGGATGAAGTACATCTTTTTCCCGATGGTGCCTTCTCTGATGATGTAGTCCCCTGGTTGAAAGACTTCAAATCTCAGTTTGGTGAGCATGGCCGTGACAAAATTGGGGTCGGCGTTGGCGAAAAGTGGCATGGAGGCCACCAGTTTGCGACAGTTGAAGTTGACAATCTCCTGGAGAACGATAGACACACAAAAAAAATGAGTCTCACCACGATTTACATAAAAACAGCTCAGCTTTTTCTTAAATGTTCCTTTGGGTCAAGAGAGGACAAGTGCTCATTAATAGGACACAGTGCTATTTGGGGGGAACATTCAAATTCTCCTAAGAAACCTCAAACTTTTGTGTGTCTCCCCATTGTTTAAAGTATGGGGTCTTAAATCAGTGTTTCCCCCTTGTAATTTTAAGTTGTGTGGACAAAAACTCCTAGAAGTTCCTGCTGGCTGGGGAATTCTGGGAATTGAAAGTCCTCAGATCTTATAATTGCCAAGTTTCAAAAACACTGATTTAGATGAATCGGCCTTAGTTAGCAGATCCCAGAAAGAGATAACCATGTTGTTCTAAGGTTGCCTAAGGTAGACTGCCACAAGATATGGAGGCTCTATTTTCAAATTGTCTGTGGAATGGCCGGTTGGGACTGGGTTAAGTTTAGTCTAAAAAAAAGAGAAGGACTAGGAGTAACATGATAGCGGTGTTCCAATATTTAAGAAGAATGGGTCAATCTATTTTCCAAAGCACCTGAAGGCAGGACAAGAAGCAACGGGTGGAATCAAGGAGAGAACCAACCAAGAACTAAGGAGAAATTTCCTAACAGTGAGAACAATTAATCAGTGGAACAACTTGCCTCCAGAAGTTGTGAATGCTCCAACATTGGGTTTTTTTAAAAAAACAGATTGTCTGAAACAGTGTAAGGTTTCCTGCTTGAGCAGTGGGTTGGACTAGAAGACCTCCAAGGTCCCTTCCAACTTTGTGATTCTGTTAAATCCCACTATTGGACCATGAAGACCTTCAGCCAAGATCTACCTCTTCCTTCTCCACCTTCTCAAGGTCCATCCCCTTCTGTGGGCGTGGATGAGGCTTACCTCTCGCAGGGGTTCGTTCAACTCCCCGAGGATGCTGTCTTCATCAAACATTTTGCCCTGGTAGCGATGTTCATAGTAGTCATGGATCTTTTGCCGGAAGTCAGCTGGGAGTTTGTGGAAGGACATATACTGTTCCACTTGTTTGTACTGAAGGAGGCAGAAGGTGGAGGAGAAATTAACTGGGAGAGTTTAAGCAGAATGTCTCACTTGGGGAACGCAAAGGGAAGAGAAACCAAAACAAGTCAGAGAAGGAGAAAGGGAGCAGACTCAGAAGAAGAGGCCTCTTCTAAAGCACTAAAGACAGAGAAAAGTAGCTACTCTAAAGAAAGAGAAAACACAAAGCTTTGTTTATTAACATCAATTAAGAACTGCGAATTAATATAGTTAACATGGGAAAACTATCAAATTCTAACTTACTGTACTGCCAAGATAACGATGTTGAAAGTGGTTGATATAATTTCTATTATAGAAACTTTTGTAAAGCTTTTTAAACATTTTGTTCTGTGTAAACCTTTTAATATT